GGGTGGGGAAGCCACGAGTAAAGGAAGTAACAAAAACAAGTTCGCAGCTCTTGATGAAGAGCATGAGGGGCCCCATGTGATGCCTCTGACGATAGAGATTGAGATAGAGACAGAGGGAACAAAAGCAAAAGGTGATGGAAATGCGAAGCTGCAAGATCGTCCCTCCCCCCTACCCAAACCAGCCGAGATACTCTAACAAGTTTTGGACTGTAGAGTGAGCATAAAAAAGTGAAGAAAATATAGTGGTGGGAACAAAAAAGAAAAAACAAGACTTGAGCAGAAAGGGAGATCATTGTAAGGTGGTGGAGGGAAGCAACCAGAATCCCCATCCCCGAGAAACTATTACTGAAGCAGTAAATAGTGCCCTACTGACACGCTATGACACAACACCAAACTGCGACCAAGTGTAATTGCAGAATGGAAATGCAGAATAGTGGGTAAGTTTTATTTATCAACCGGGGTCTAGATCTACTGCCTAATCCTTGAACTTCTATTATCTAGAGGGACTAAGTAAGTGTAGGTGACTCCAAACAAGACAGAAAGAAAGCAGTAAATTGTTTGGTTTTCTGAAGCAACAGAAGAGTCACTCTGGAATGAGTCCCCCTAGCTCCTTAGTTAGGTCCAAGTTGTAATTTCCTTTGGTTGATTTACTGTTGATTAAACTACGGAAGATCCGATAGTATCTTGGAATCTCTTAAGCTGACCAAGCCCTCTCAGACTGACTAACCGGCAAACGCCTAGCCTTCACTGGGATAGGCTGCTAAGGTTATTCACACAAAACTCCACTACTGAAAACAGATTCCAGTACAAAATAGTGAATTGAATGACTCTTGTACAATCAATTCACTCCTATCGATTAAAGAAGCTCTAACAACCTAATCAGATTCTATCTATCTCAGGTTGCAGTAGAAATCAAAAGAAGTTGATCAGAATTCAATTGACTCAATAAACACACTTCAATTGATTATAGTCAAACAATATATCAATCCAAAAGTCATTACAGTCAAGATACCTAAGACATGGAACTAGGGTTCTTCATACCCAAGTGAGAGAAAGTTCTACTCCATAGAGAGAGAGTAGAAAACAAAAACCAGAGGAATCATACTCATAATGATGTGTATGATAAGCTTTGGATGATAATCTTCACTCCAATGACGAAATCCAAGTTTGATTGATGAAATCCAGCTCCATAATTGATCCTAGGGTTTGTTCTTCGCACTTTCTCTCTCTAGGACTTTGTTTTTTCTCTCAAAATTTGATCCTCCTGTCAAAGACCTGAAATTGAGTTAAAACTCAGCTCTACCAGATTACACGGCCAGACCACACGGCTGTGTAGAATCCAGCCAGCCCGTGTAACTCCCAAAATGCGGCGTTGCACGTAGTTGGTCGAAGAAAGTCATACGGCCATCACACGGCCGTGTAGAATTATGCCAAGCCCGTGTAGACCCCCTGGACGTCCTGTACGGCCAAAATGTGCCCTTGCACAACCAGTACAGCCCTGGCCGCGTAAAAATTGTATACCTGGCCACACCGCACGACCGCGTAGAATTGGCTCTTGCCCGCGCACGGCCATGATGAACGGTCGCGTAAAATCATGAGCTGGCCGCGTAAAATCCTCAGCTTTCCGTCAAACGTCCCAACTTCGTCCAATCGACCATGAACTCGTGCCCAAGCCTTCATTCACGTACTAGGACTTGAAATATGACACACAAGAACAACCTAGCGTGAAATCGTTACGAAGGGGATACGTTAGTTACATTTATATATGAAAAATCGAGATCTAGTGATATAACGCAGGGTCTTCCAAAAGTGGAACAACTTCCGTCGTTCAGGAACAAACACTTTGCCTAATTCTTTTGAATTCTGGCCCGCTTGGTCGAGATCTTTTAAAAGAGGATACAAGTACTTGTTTTAATCATGTTAATACGTCAGTTTCTTTAGGTGTTATACTTATACTAGTAATTAGTGCAGGGATTGTTCCTGAAACATCAACAGTGCTATGATTCGGTGGCTCGGGCCCGAGGCAAAACGCCAAGCTAAAAGTGAAGAAAGACTTGTCTGAAATCGCGGTTGGTAAAACCAACCAAGAAAGACATGGGAGTGGATCTTCTATTTCTATATGATATTACCAATACTGCCTTCCAGAATCGATGATATTTCCAGCAGCTCTTCTCCAGAAAGAAAAGAAGCCAGCAGGTCCTTTTCCGCTTGATCGCTAACTCATGGGCAAATCCGTCTTTTTCCGCCCCTCATGTAGCATATGAGTGGATCTTCACTAAAACCGGCTCTATTGGAGAATGGATAGCAAAGTCGCCTTCGGCGGCTCATATATTCCCCCTTTCAGTCAAGAAACTTCGAAGCTTAACTGAATTTCCCCAGGATCAACCATCAATCGTTCCTTGTGATTCCAGCGGGCCCAAAGTCGAGAGGGAAACAACCCAGATCGTATAGCGTTCGGCAGTGAATCACATGTAGAAATACCAAAATGTTTCATCATCGAGATTTTTGCTTGGTCTTTCGCCTACCGTGTATGGTGTAACGACATCTCGTGCCAAGAAAAAACAAGGGGGGAACCTGACTCACAAACCGGGGGATCCGGGGGATTTTGCCCGCTCAAAACACGAGAGGCGAGGCTCAAACAATATAAGAATGGTGGACAAAAACATGTGTCAATATCGAGTTATCACCTACAGACAAAGAATGGCCAAAAACCAAGAAAAAAAGCACCAACAAACGAGAAAAAATGGAGCTGAAAAGAAGGGCGGAGTGAGCCTATCCCCTCTGGGGAATAGATGAGGATCCTCAGCTATAACTGTCGTGGGTTGGGGAATACGCGATCAGTAAATGCTTTGCCAGAGCTGCTCTGTAGAACATCCCCCATGTGGGTTTTCTCATGGAAACGAAAGAATTGCAGGCAAAAAAGGAAGCTACTAGAGGCTCTTGTAGTTTTAAGAATGGCGAGTGTTGGCCGGCGATGATAACAGGGAGAAGCAGGGTTTGCAGCGTGAGCATATGGTGGTAAGAGCAAGTGACCATGACAAGGATGGCATTTGATTATCATTATATGATGTTGCGATTGGTGAAGAAAAGGAGGGAAGATGGCAATTTATGGTATGTCGGTATCTATGGATGGCCGGAGGGTAGTGATAAGTGGAGCACTTGAGAATTGATTCGTTCCCTGAGCCAACATTGGAATGGCCTATGGCTTTGCAGGGGAGATTTCAACCAAGTCCTACCAGCGGAAGAAAAGAGTGGAGGATGACATGCCCATGAAATATAGATGAGTAATTTTGGCGACTGTTTAACTCAGTAGGGCTCCATGACCTGGCCTTTCATGGATACCCTTTTACTTGGGAGAACCATAGGACACACGCTGGCTATATAGAGGAGACTTTATAGATTTTTATGCTAATGAAAGCTGACAACAAATATTCACGAACACTCGGGTTTTATATGTGGATCGAGCTAGCTTGGACCATTGCCCGATATATTATGATTCTTATGGAGCTGATGACGTGGAGGTCAATTGGGGATGGTACTTTTGCTTTGATCCGCTTTGGCAAAAACACGAAGACTGCCCTCGTATTATTGAGGAAGCATGGAAGGAAGCTGGGGCGACGGATGTGTTTTCGAAAATGGACAGTTGCTGCTAGAGATTGGAAACCTGAAACACTTGAGTGTTCCAAGCTTCGAGGGAAGAAAAATGAAAAATTGTAAGCGCCACTCCAGTGCTGGAATAGAGGGAGAAGACGGAGGATACTCTATGCCAGCTTCAACAACTTGAGAAAGAGATGGCTGATGTTCTAGATAGTTAAGAAAGGTATTGGAAGCAGAGGTCTCGGGTGGATTGGCTAGGTGATGGATATAAAAATACAAAAAAAAATCATAGAAAGGCGACGGCAAGGCGGAGAAGGAACACTATTAGAATGATCCAAGATGAATCGGGTAGATGGCGTATAAGGCAGGATGACGTTATTGCATGCATGATGAACTACTTTATCTCACTGTTTACTGGAGGTGAGCCTCCGAGTGAATGGCTAGTGCTTGATCCAGTGGAGAGGCGGTTTAGTAATGATGATAATGAACATCTCCTTAAGCCGTTCAGCAGGGAGGAAATTTGGGATGCTTTAAAGCATATGGGAAAGAGGAAAGGTCCGGCTGCAAATGGCCTTTCAGTTCTATTCTTCCAGTGATATTGACATATAGTAGGGGATGAGGTGGTAGCAGCGATTATGGAGATATTGGAGACAAGAATCATGCTGAAAAGATTTAATCAAACACTCATAGCTTTGATCCCGAAGACTAAGAAAACGTGTTTGCCCAGGGAGTATCACCCAATTAGCCTATGCAATGTACTTTATAAGATGGTGTCAAAATTATTGGCTAACCGACTGAAGCCTCTACTCGACAAGATCATCTTGCTGCCCCAAAGTGCCTTCAAACCAAGAAGATATATCACAGATAATATCTTGGCTGCGTTCGAGTATTTTTCACACGTAGAAAGGGAGCAAGAAACAAAAGCATGACTTTTTTTGCGGAGAAAATTGATATTGCTAAAGCATATGACAAGGTGGAGTGGAAATTCCTGGAGGGAATTATGCGACACCTAGGCTTTGCAGAACGCTGGATACACCTCATCATGATGGGGGTGACTACTGCTTCATACTCGGTTTTGGTGAATGGCCATCGGTCACCAACTTTCATTCCGAGCAGAGGCCTGAGACAAGGCAACCCTTTATCACATTATCTCTTCCTTTTTTGTGTGGAGGGATTATCCACGTTTACGACCAAAGTAGTAAACGAAGGACGACTGCATGGTCTACGGGTGAAAAGGGTAGCCCCGATGATTACCCACTTGTTTTTGCTGACGATAGTATTTTTTGCTAGGGCAACCCAACAGGAGAGCTTGGAACTGAAGGCCATTCTTCAAGCCTATGAAAGGGAGTCTGGACAGCTTGTAAACTTCCAGAAGTTGGAGGTTTCGTTTGGAGCTAATTTGAAGGCTTATAGCAAGCTTATTGTAAGTTTAAAAATGGTAAAAGATTGTGGACAAACATGATAAATATTTGGGCCTGGTGACTGAAGTTGGTAGATCGAAGGAGTTTTTTGCTAACTTGAAAGAAATAGTCCGGCAGAAGCTCAAAGGATGGGAGGAAAGAACCATGTCAGTGGCAGCTAGGGAGGTTCTTATCAAGTCACTAGCGCATACACAACTTACCTATGCAATGTCGGTATTTTAGATCCCAGAGGGAATCATCGACGAGGTGCATAGTTTGATCACGAACTTTTGGTGGGGTCAAAAGGAAGTAAAGAGGCGTACGCATTGGCTGCGTAGGGAGGAGCTGGTGCTGACGAAGGATGAGGGCGGACTTGGATTTTGGGATTTAAAGGGTTTTAACACGGTTTTGCTGGCAAAATAGGTGTGGTCACTGCACATGCGGCCCCATTCCCTTATTTCTCGGATTCTCGCATAAAAATATCACAAAAAATGGCTCCATCATTGACGCAAAGCTGGGTCATAGACCAACCTACGATTGGCAAAGCTTGTTGAGTGCCCAACAGTTCCTGTACAATGGGTTATGATGGAAGATATGTAATAGGTCAATGGTAAGGATTTGGGAAGATCTGTGGCTCCTAGATTGTGACAAAGATTTTGTTAATGTTGTACTGTGCAGGCTACTTGTGGATTCTATGGTTAGTGACCTTATTAACCCAGACAAGGAGCAATGGGACGCGTGTTTATTGAAAAGCTTTTTCCCAACGAGAATCGTCCAAAACATACTCTCAATCCCGCTACGTGGAAGGGACAAACAAGACTGACTGATTTGGAATCATGGGGTGGACGAGAATTTTACACTGAAAGAGGGTTATGTGAAATGGTTGGATAGTTTCAAGTAAGAAAATGGAGTCAGCCCCGATGGAGAATCGAGTCTCTGACAAGCGATTTGGACACTTAATGCCCCACCGAAAATTTGCCACTTCCTCTGGAAGTTTTCCCGAGAAGCATTGCCGACTAGGGTGAAAGTAAGTGCCAACAATCCGAGACACTGTGATGTCTGTCTGTTCTGCAACCAGCAAAAAACTCAACGGCATCTGTTTTTTGAGTGCGAGTTGAGTAGCAGGACATGACGAGCTTTGTCAGTTGGTGTACTTTTTGACATTGAAGGGGTACAAGAATGTTAGGACAAGGTACAAAAGAATGTGAAGGAGTTAGAAAAACAAGCTTTTGAGCAATGGGCAATGGTCATGTGGGCTCTCTGGAAAGGAAGGAATGCCTTGTTGGTCAATGGCAACAAGGGGTCAGAAAATGAGATCATCATGAGAACCATATCATTATTGGAAGAGAATTAAGAGAATCATGGAAGGAGGGATGGAGCAGTTAGGTCTCTAGTGGGGAAAATTCGACTCGGACCCCAGAAGGAAAGATCAAAGTAAAATCGGATGCGGGTATCCATGATGGGGAAGGAGCTGGGTTGGGGGCGGTTATTCGGGACCATCATGGGCGATTCCTATCAACAGCGGCAAAGAAGGTGAGATGACGTTTCGACGTGGAAATGGCAGAGGCCTTGGCGGCTGAATTTGGTGTCCAATTAGCGAGCCAGCTAGGGTATAACAACCTCATCATTGAAACTGATTGTTTAACCTTGGTGAAGAAGCTCTTGAGATTGGAGGATGTACACACGGAGATTAGCCTCATAGGCATGAGTGTCATAAACTACTTGGGAGGAGCAGAATCACTGGAGGGATGCATTCGACTTGTAATGAGAGGAACAAATAATGCGACGCATATTATGGCTCATCGTGAGACTAAATGAGTTCAACGGGAAGTTTGGCTTGATAGACCATCGATTTATCTTGTTGACCAGCTAAAGTTGGATGATGTAACCAGTTCTCAAAATTAATATAATTAACTAGGTTAGCATATGACCTACCATAAGTGAAATATATCCTAAATCTAATCTTTCTATGATTATACTAGGGTGAACTATTACTCCTAACTAATATTACAAGTTAACAGCTCATATCTTTGAACAATTATCTTGAAAATAAGGTAGAGACCATAGCATTTAGGTGCTGACTTTTATTAGACCTAGCAATCATAGTCAATTGATGTGGAGGCTGAGCTTCAAGTAGATCAGTTCATTAATCTGAAACTCCCGTTCGTTCAATTTCATAGAGACCAACCATCTGCTTCTGTTCTCTTATGAGTTATAGCTATTATACTCCCCGAGGTAGTGATTAGAGACTATTGAGATTGCAGTTTCTCTATAACAACTACAGTTGAGGTTAATAATAGTTTTTAAATAGAAAATTGAGGAGGAGGATAGCCATATAGATATTCAAATAAGGTCATGTGTAAGCTGCTATAATGGTTAGTGTAATACCACCATTCAGTCAAGGATAACCAAGAAGTCCCCTGCCAAGGTGAATGGTTAGGGATGGCAAATTACCCACCCATGGGTAATTATACCCAAACCCAAGTAGACCCATTGATAATGGGTTGGGTATGGGTGAAGTGCATATGGGTTTGGGGGTTTGTAGATGAGTTTGGGTAAGGTATGAATATTGCTTTCATAATCTAAATGGGTATGGGTTGGATATGGATATCCATTTACTAGAGGGTGTTTTAACTACACATGCAAAAATTGGACCTATTTGTAAAACTTGAAAAGTTCAGGTACCAAAATGTAAAACCAAAAAAATTTAGGTACCAAAATGTAATTTTGCATTGATATTTTGAGGACTTATATGCAAAAAAAATTAAATTTTGGTACTAAATATGCATATCTATTAAGTTTGGGTACCAAAATGTAATTTGTATTTGGGCATGGGTACAAATCCATTTGATATAAACCCAACTCAACCCAAAGTAAATGGGTATGGGTACAAACCCATCAAACTCTACCCATATCCATCTATTTGGATTTCATACCCAACCCAATTGGGTTGGACAGTAAGAAACCCATTGGTATGGGTAAAGTTGCCATCCCTATGAATGGTGCACCAAACTTCTCAGGTAGTCTTCTATACACCTATGACCTATCTACTCTTTCTGACTTCTCAGGTAGTCTTCCAGACACAGACACCTTTTTTTTTATAATGGTGAAATATATTAAATAGAAAAGCAAAAGCAAAATATTAAGAAAAATATCCAAAGCTTGACACACAAGCTCGCCGCAAGGGGAACAAAAAAACAACAGAGCAGTCTAATAGGCCCTGAAACAACATAAAAGGCCAGGTCAACAGATCCAGACACCTATTCAGTCTTTCAATTTTGCCACATGTTTGTGGGTGATAAGTTGTAGAATAAGTTAGGTCAACACCTTAATGCTCAAAGAGTTTAGTCCAAAACACACGGGTGAACATAGCATCCTGGAGACAATAGTTTGAGGCTTGCCATGCAACTTGAAAAATCCATCAAAATATATTTGAGCCATTTAGTAGCAGCGAATGCTTTGCAATGGCTGAAGAAATGATCATACTTTGAAAATCTATCAATGATCATAAAAACTACATTTTTACCTAATGATTTGGACAGGGCGTTGATAAAAATTCATTGAAATGTGTTTCCAAGCCTTGACTAAAATGGGAAGTGGTTAGAGTAAACCGGGATAAGGAAAATTCTTAGTTTTGTGCCATTGATAAACATGACACTCATCTACAAACAACGTCGACTATTACGTCATACTTGGCCACCAAAAGTATCTCTTCAACCTTGGTAAGTTACTTGAATACCAGAATGTCCTCCCACTGGAGTATCATGGAACAACTTCAACAGTTGAAATCTCATCTTCCTCGCAAATCCTACATAAAGAGTGCCTTATGGTAAAGTAAACCTTGTTTGATTGAGTTGACTCAAGGACCATCAAATGGAATCACAGCCTCTTTCATGAGATGTTGCCACACTAGATCACCCATATGGGCATTCTCAATTTCTACTATCCATGTTGGAAAGATAATAGTGATAGCTTGACATTTATCATCTCAGAAACATTAGGGATTGTAGCAAAGCATCAACTACCTTATTAAACTTGCCTTGTTTGTAGGGGGTTTAAAAATCAAACCCAAGAGTTTCACTAACCTTTTTTCCCTCTATATTTGAGTATGCACTTTTTCGCCTAACAGATGCTACAGACTCTCATGATTTGTAATAATAACGAACGGTCCTCTAGATAATGTTTCCATTTAGTGATAACAACCAAAAATTCCTTCTCATATGATGACAAACCCTGATTTTGAGATACAAGGCCTCGCTATGATACTCTAATGGTATTCCTTCCTGAGACAACACAACACCCACCCTACATCACTACATTAGTCTCTAAAGTAAAAGGTTTAGTAAAATTAGGAAGTACCAACGTTAGTGCTTCCACCATGTTCGTTTTCAACAATTCAAAGGCCCTATAATCATTAGAATTCCAAAAAAAAAATGTATTTGTTAAGTAGCTCAGTGAGAGGTCGAGCTATTACCCCATAATTTTTCGCTAACTTTTTGTAATATCCAGTTAATCTTAGAAAACCTCTCAACTTCTTCACATTTCTAGGTACTGGCCAAACAACCATTGCTCATATCTTTCTAGGATAAGTGAATACCCTTTCCTAATTAATGACATGTCCAAAGTAATCCACCCTTTCCTAACTAATGACATATCCTAAGTAATCCACTTTAGTCTATACGAATGAACACTTAGATGGTTTGTCATGTATGGTATTTTGGCGAAGAATGTCAAAGGTCAAGGCTATGTGATATTTATGGGTAGTTTGGCTGGTTTGTATACAAGTATGTCATTAAAGAACAAAATGATAAACTTCCTCAGATGAGCATAAAAGAGCTTGGAATTTGGCTGGAGCACGGCTAAGACCAAAATGTCATCTTTGACCCTTCGAGTTCATCTAGCATATAATCTATAACATGAATGTGATTCTTGTCTTTGATGGTGAGTGATTTCAGCTATCTATAGTTAACACAGAGCCTCCAAGTCCCATCATTTTGAAAGAACTAAAAGGACATGAGAGGCAAAGGGGCTACAATTGGGTTATATATATAATGGGAGCTAGCATGTCATTTACCAATCTTTCCATTTTAGACTTGGGTGGTAAAGAATAGCGATAGGGTCTCAGGTTGACAGGGTTTTTTACATGGGGTTGGTGTGATCACAAGGACGGGAAGGTGGTAAGGATTTAGGCTTGCAAAACACATCATCAAACTCATTCACCAGAAAATCGAAGGAATTATAGAATGTTACATGGAGCCGTTGAAAATATGGTGAACAATTGGCTAGAGCACATATATATAGGAACCTTCTTCATAAAGTACTTCTACATACCCTTAATAAACATAGATTTTCAGTTGCCAAACTCTTGAAAACCCTTTAGAGACAATTCTTGACCATTGAGGTAAATAAAATATTGTGAGTCAATGAACTCAAACTTCACAGAACTAATAGTTCTTACCCAATCCAGACCCAAAACCATGTCATTCGAGCCCATGCCTAATATCCTGGCATCATAGGTAAATTAATGACCCTATCTCTTCCACTTAAACCTTTTGAAAACTATATTACTAGCCAAAATAGTTCCATATGCTAACTTCACTCTCAATAGAGTGGCTGCCACTGATTCACAGTTGAGATCCAGTGCTTTTTGCTCGTTCAGAATTGTATGAGTGCTTCCAGAGTCTATTAGCATAAACATATTCTTCTATTTTGAACACGTGATGGATTTGTCCTTTTGCCAAGAATACATATTGTTAGACCATTTCATTGTCGACTTTTAGCAATCTATGGAGCTTATGTGATTAAATATTTAGCAAATGTCAGTTGCCCGATGGGGCTTGCTAAATTAGAAAGTCCATCACCAATGGATTCTAGACCTATTGGATGCACGTTTTTTCTTTTAATTGTTTCTTTTCTTCCTTTTTTCCTACCACAAATTGTATTCTAGTACATTATTATTTTAAGTTGTTGATTGAAAATATATTTATATGTTATTAGTTAGAGGAGTAGTTATGAAACATACTTTTTTGTTATAAATTATATCTTAGATTTTTATCTTCGAAATGAGAAAGAAACATATTTGCTGCTTAATAATTGAACATTCTTTCATGAAACTAGAAAAAATAACTCAAAATGAAAAATATGCACCATTCATATATTTCACTAAACAAAAGATGGAGCTAGTTTCGACGTAACGATGCCTCAATTTCTCAAACTCATCAATGAGAATATGAAAAGATCTCCAGAATCATTAGACAATTTATGATAGCGCAAAAAACCATCAACCTATAACATAGTTAATTGAAGAATTCTGGAGTCGGTTTCGAGGAGAGAAAGATGGCAGGTATTCTTATATAGGGCTAATACCACTACAACACCCGAACTATGACAAAAATGCCACTTGTGTCCTATTCTTTTCAATATTCCATTTCTGTCCTAAACTATGATACTTTGTGTCATTTGTATCCTAGCGATTTTGTTGACCGTTAGATTTAATGGTTGACCAGACGGTTTTGAAAATGACGTTAGATTGGGGTCGATGTGGCAACAACGTGGCAGCCACGTCATATTTTAATTAAATAATAATTCAAATTTATAAAAATAATCTCAAAATTAAAAAATTCCACTAGCCTCTCCGTTCTTTGTCCCCGACCATTCGCCAGCAAAAGCCAAAACCTTGGCCTCTCTGTTCTCTGTCCCCAAATCGACGCCACCAGACCTCCTTGTTCCGGATCCAAGACGAACATCACCAGACGGAAGACAACCGGGGCTAAATTCTAGACGAACATCACCAGCCGGAAAACATCACGAAGAAAAGGCGGTGGCTAAATTTCTAGATTGTGCGGGAAGAAAACCGGGGCTTACAGATCGAGCACAGCAAAAGGAGCAAGTGATTCGCGCCGAAAAATGGGATGGGTGTGGAAGGACGACGATGAATCGGAAGAATTCAAGTCTTCGTCCTCCGCCGGCGAAATTGAAGCCTACAAGAAGCAGTCGTCCGATGAGGTTTGCTCGACGAGGAAAGTGGTGAGGTCGAACTGCAAGACGGAGGAGGTGGAGCCCGGAAAGTTTCTCCGCAAGTGCGAGAAGACCGAGGAGGTTCTCAGAGAGTTCCTTGGAAAGTAATTTCTCTTCTCCTCCTTGTTCTGGATCCAAGACGAACATCACCAGCCGCCACTGTGAAGGTGCCATTGACGATGATGTATATGAGGTCAAGTTTTGGCCCGGCCTCAAGGCTCGCCATCAAGATCGATGTTGACGAATTCGATGAGGCAACGACTTCTCACAGTGGCGACGCGGCGGAGTGGGGTCTCAACCCAGATCTGGTGATAGATCTTGATTCTCATGGATTCGATTTTGCGACGAAAGAGAACCGATGTCGGAGGAGGAAGGAGAAAGATCGATTCGCTCCAATTAGAATAAGAAACCCGCCTCCGCCGATATAGTTTCGCGAGTCTTCTTGGCTGAACGATGCCTTTGCTGAATCTCTAAATCGGGGGAAGGATGTGGATTGGGGAGAGATAGATCTAAGATGGAGACAGATTGGTGGCGGAGACAAAACAGTGGTGATGGAGAAGGAAAGTGAGGATTGCTCGAAGGAGGTTCTGGGTGGTGGCGGAGCGATGACGAACTGGTGGTGGATGGTAGTGTATTGGACGAGAGGGTTATTTGTGGTGAGGGAGGCGATGGCAAAACTGGTGGCGGCGGATTGGTTCAGGTAAGAGGAAGAGGCGGATTGGGTCAAACCAGTGTATCAGAGGGATGATTGCGGTGGTGGCGGATTGAGTCGGTAAGAGGAAGAGGCGGAGCAAGCTCGCGATTGGGATTGGGAAGATAGAATAGGAATTTTTAATTTTTTGCTTTTTTAATTATTTAAAAATTCCACGTCAGATGCCACATCAGTGCTGACTAGATTTTCTGTTAAAAACTAACGGTCAACAAAAGTCAACACTAACGGAATCATAGTTCAGGACACAAATGTAATATTGGAAACAATAGGACACAAGTGGCATTTTCGCGATAGTTCGGGTGTTGTAGTGGTATTAGCCCTCTTATATATATTTTTTTTTTTTTTAAGAAGTATTCTTGTATTTTTATTACTTATTTCTGTGCAATTTTCTTCTATGGTTAATGACAACTGTCATTAAGTCCGGGAGATTCAAAATGCATTAAATTCCTCTCATTGTTTTACATATAGGCATATAGCCAACCTTACTGAAACAAATTAAACTATTAACATATGTCCTATTACTCTCATTCTCTCCTTGGAAGTACCATTTCCTTTCGCAACAGTTTAAATTAATCCCCCAAAACACGAGCAGCTACCTGTGACTGTGAGGGAGAACACTAACCTCGGTTGTCGTATAGTCTAGCACAATTTCCAAATAAATGGTCATGGGACTGGGACCCAAACCTGTTATGAATGGCTGCAAGCTGCGACACTTCAATACTCGTCAATGAGCTATGATCCCGCTAAGTTGAGTTGCAGATCGCACAAGGACCTTTGTTTGATTTGATATTTTTGAATCCAAGCCATCGTAATGATCCAGCCTTCGCTAATATGTTCCAAATATGTCGAGCATCTGGTTCCAAATTTTAAAGTCTCGAATTACATGCCTGGCAAACAAATTGAAATTGCGTTAGCACCATCAATTTGAGCGAGTGTTGAAGTGAGTATGTATTAAGTAATTAACCATTGTTGTGGTTAATTACTATTATGGCCCTTTGTGTTTAGGGTTTGTGTGTGTTCTTCCTTCATTTCAGTATGCGTATGAGATTACTAGTTTATAGATAGTCAATTGCATTGTTAGAAGAATCGAGCTGGATTAGCGGTTGGACAAGTAGAACCACTAAACCAGTTATAATAGCGTTTTAGTTATTTTGCTTGCACGGCTTGCGATGGACAGAATGTTTTTATGGTAGGACATGTAAACAGATGAACCACTACGGTTTTACTGGTCTACTGGTTAACTATTTTAACTGCCAAAAAATTAATAGAAAAAACTTTTAACTTTAACTAAGACCATCCAACTTGAATAAACAATGTTATTTTTTATTCTTTTCCTTCATTTCCCCGTCTTCTTGTCGTCTTTGTGTGGTTCACACTAATTGCTAGTTTAGTTACTAAGATAAATTTAATAAAAAAGTACGATTTTTTATATAGTTTGATTGATTTTTTAGAAAATTTGGTGATAGACAAAATGAATTTGAAATGGTTCATGGTTAGAGTGATAAATCCATTTCTAAACTATTATATTATATATATCTCTTAAGTTATATATAGTGCATGAAGGGTTCTATAACGATGAACCACTAAATCATGAACCACTAATTTTTTCGGTTCAAAATTTGTTCTGATTCTGAAAACAAAGGTCAATTGTAACACGATTTCTTTTTTTTTCCTTTTATGTTCATTTCCTTTCAGTTTGTGTTCCTAATTTTGGAAAGGAAACGGTAACACCCTGAATTTGGGTTAGATTCAGTCAATAATAAAGATATGAATTGGATTGACGGTTATGTACGAAAGTCGAAAACCCGAATCAAACCAAATTAGTGAGTGGACCTAAAAATACAATTCAACAATTTGGTCGCGCTACTTTGATGGGCGGACAATTAATTTTTGAATTCGTTTCTAAGGGAAACAACTAGTCACAGGCCCGGCCGATTGGCTGGATTCATTTGCCAATCGCGTAAATAGAAATAGCAATTTTGATGTGAGCTTTGGGTTTATTAGGTAGTATATTTAGAAATAAAGGTATATGAAAAATTTTAATTTTTTAATTTTTCGGTAGCGTTAAATAATTCAAATTATTTAATGTGGTGTACTTACAATTCAATCGAATTGCTGATTAATAAAATACATATTAATGTGAAAATTCATTAACCCAATCATATATAAAACATATTTTAATATACGAAATTTTGAATAAAATAATAATTACACATATTTAAATGCAACATTTACCTTCAAATATAAAGTTTTTTACTTGATTTCACCAATTAGCATCAACATTAACTTTTGAAATCATAGCATAAATAATAATTTTATTTTTTATTAATTAAATCCCGTAAAACTATTATACCCCTTCCAAATGAATTCAATGGATAATTTTATAACATATCATTTATTTGGAAGTTTAAAAATGATTATACTGGTCATCACTGTATAATACTGTGATTAACGTGTTGTCATGTATGTGTTTAAACTTCAAAAATTTGTTTTTTAATTGTAATGAAAATTTATCCCTTCCAAATGTAAACAAAGTGCAAGTGTGCAACAGTAAAATACTTTAACCATTGTAAAGGATCACAATCATAGTATTTTTCGAATATACTAACCGACTCATTGAGTAAATTTGTTTGCCGAAAAAATAATATAGAAATCCTATGTCAGAGAACCGACTCCTAATTTGCTTTCGTTAATCATTCCATTTGTTCCTCATTGTCAGAGACTATCACTCCATGTTTTCTTTTTAGCTTGTTTGCATTTCCTTTGTCATTAGCAGCATCATCATCTCCACCGGTATTGAAGTCTTCTTTTCCATTAGTCCTCTATTTTGGTTCAATATCTGGAGACTCCACATTCTTCTCAAGAGCATCATCATTTGTTACACCGATTCCAGCCACCGCATCATTGCCAATGCCATTTTCGATCTCCTACATAATTAGGATAATGATATCAGTTTTTTGTCATTAAAAAACAAAACATATTTGTTGTTTTATTGAATCATAAAATCATAATATTTGGCAAGTGAAAACATATAGGATGCTTATATATTCAAGTATGCAGCAACATGCAAGTGAATAGGAAATAAAGGAATGTTGCATTAAGCTATATAATTAAACGCATTGCAAAATTAATGTATGAGCAGTTGAGATGGAATTGTAATTAAATTATAATTATAGGGTTCATTTTGATATAGAATTTCCAAATTGTGTTGGTTATAATGCATTATTGTAAATAAGAGTGAATATAATTTCACGCTAGTTGGACTTACCTCAATTGATTCGGGGTGATCGTTTGATTCGGGGTGAGAAACAAAGCCCAGATCAGTCTTCTACGGAGGAAACTGGAGGCGCTGTAATGGGCTTCGATGGAGGGAATCAATGGGATTCTGCGGGCTTCTGCTAAGGGAACTGCCGGCCCAGATCAGTCTAATTAATTGGCGGTGGCAGGAATTGACAATATGCTCCTTCTGTGGATTGCGCACAGCTCAGGAAAAAACAACTGGGCGGCTAAACGTCGCCCTAACTTTACTATAATCGCCCTAATTTAAAATATAATATGACTAAATTATCCTTCTTTAATTAGTTCAATTCAAATTCATTAAAATAAAATATCCCCTAAAATTCCTAGTTCCCTTCCCTCACCACCGCCCCGGCCTTTATACTCGTCGGAGCTGACATTATCATCTGTTCATTGCTCGATGAGGACTCATCGTCCTTTACCTATCTAGGCGCCGGTCCCAGCGAAGAAGACCAAAGTCTCCGACTTCGCCACAATCTGAACCGACTCCCTTGATCCTCAAATCTGTCAGTCGCCATCTGCAACCGCGACTCCTATTTCATCGCCGCCATGAATTCATTGGTCGTCAACTTCTAGCTCCATGCCACCGTCAGCGACCACATCAGCAACTTTCGTCGACATTCGTCGCCTCCAGCTAAATCTCCGCCTCTGGAAACACAAGTCACCGCTGCCAGCTCTCTGCCTCCAATCCGCCGTCGTCTCAATCAATCAGCCGCCGCGACCATCTCTGCCATCTGCGCCACTCGATTTGGCATTGCCTTTTCTCTTTGAAGTCTCCCGCAAAAAATCGTTGTCTCCAGCTCTTGGCCGCCCGCCGTCGCCCCATTGTTGTTGAAATCGGAATTTTCGGATTTAGATACGAATCAAAGTGAGACAGCCGAAAAAGAAAAGAATAAGATTGGGCGATTAGGCAATTAATCAGATTGGGCGATTAGCCAATTAGGTTAGGGCAATTAGGGTCCAATTCACAATAAAAAGGGATAAAGGACAACGAAGTAATTTTAAACCTTTAGATTAAGGCGATTAGGGCGAGATTTAGCAACCCCAAAAACAATCTAAGGGGGTTCTGCCCCAGAAAGTCTTTATAGTGATGTTGGGATTGGATTTCCATTGGGCCTAGCCAGGCGAATTGAAAGGGTGGGCTGGCTCATGAACATGAGAGAAGGAGACAATGAAAGGCGTCGACGGTGAGATGGCGGGGGCTTACAAAACAGGTTAAGGCATACGGCTCGATGAGCAAAGAGAGATAACCAAAAGCAGCAAATTCTTTAGCCTCTGGCCCCTGAACGATAAATGGTTATAATTTCTAGCAAACATCAAGGCCTATCTTGATGGTGATGAAGGAGCAAAGAGAGATATAGAAAAAAGTTCCAAACTATAATGATTCAGTGTAAAAGGCTCGCACCTTCTGAAATGAAAATAACCAAAAAAATACTTGCTACTACTAGGTACGCAACTTTTAATAGCTCAATTAACTATCGGACACCAAAATATAGTTTAATGCCAAAACTAAAGAATGCATCCTTGTATTAAACAAACTTAATAAAGAAATGGATATTTCAGAATATGCATTTGAAGCCATGATAAACTATTCAACATTGTTCAAGAAGACGCGATTAATCTCTCGCCTAGGCGCGATTAATAGCTGGGCAGGATGAAATCGCCCCGTCTAGCCCTGGGCGATTGATCTAGGCACTTAGGCACTTGGAGGCGCGTAAAGTATAGCCTTTTTTTGAAAATCCCAAACCCTATTCTATTTCCCATTTCCATTCGACCAGCCGCAAAATGGATGCCGAACCAGGATTCCACAAGGTTAGAGCTCAAGGCGGGAGAAAGAGAGTTGGCTGGAGATGTTTTCGAGGTTGTAAGCGATCAGAGGTCTAATTTCAAGTCGCGAAGGTCAGATGAAGAGGGGCAACGACCATGGATTTTGTCAAGATTGGGGGGTGAATTGCACCAAATACCACTTAAATGGGGTTATTGTTGCAGGGTTACCACTTAAACAAAATTAGTAGCAACTAAAACATTTAAGTCGTTCTCCGGTAGCAACATTACCAATTTCGTCAACGGAAGTAACGGCAGGTACCGTGAAGGTAATTTTCATGACACATAGGCAGACAGGTCAGCAAGAGTTGCTAACTCATATCTGGGCCACACCTAGGCTTGGGCCCACTCACCAAAATGCAGAGAAAGAAAGGGTGTGATCGCCCGCCGACTTCTCATCTCCCTCTCTTTTCTGTTCTGCAATTTCAAAAAGACAAAAACCCTTCCTCCAGAAGACAATCGTGTGACGGCAGCAAGGGGAACCGATTAGCAAGATCAGCTCATACTAAACGCATAGGGTGTGAAGATTAGAGATTAACATCATCACATCTTCCATTGATTAAGGTAAGTAAATAGTAATATGCATCTGCAAGTTGTTTGATCTTCCTCTACTCCTTGATTCTGATTTCTTTTTCTTTTCATCATGTTCTTAGGCTTTGAAATGACATGTTAACGAAGATAGCTTGTTAACGAAGATAACTTGTTGATGGATTGAAATAGGTAAGTGATTCCTAGTACTCCAGCCTCCTGAAAGACGAAAGTGCTCTGTTCTATAGATGAATATGTGGTTTGTTATTGTTGAATTCTGGGTTTCTTTCAACATATGGTTTATTCTTGCTGAATTTGTGGTTTGTTCTGTAATGGCAGGTTACATAACAGCAAGCACGTGTTCCCCTGGCTTTTATCAACAAAAATGAGTCCAACTATTAGGGAAGTAGGAGATACCGATCTGATACCAACATATGGTGAGTTGGATTTTTGTGTTGCTGCACTTTTCATCATTTGATTTCAGGTTTACTAAAACTAAATTCGGCTTCTTTGTTTTTGTTAGGAATCGATGATGACAAGTTCACCATCGAGCTGCATTACAAAGGAGAGGTTGTGTATGTACTAGACGAAGACTTGTGTTATTTTGGCGGGGAAGTTAAGTACCTGGATTGGATAGATCCATATTGCTTGTCTTTGTTTGAACTTGACGGATATCTTGTTGAGTTTGGCTTCTCAGAAAGTGTCAGGATGTTTGAGGAATATAGAATGAAGAATGGTTGGGCATACTATTGGAGACTACCAGGAGAATGATTGAAGGAAGGACTTCAAGAGCTGAGAAGTGACAAAGAAATTATGGACATGGCTGCCAAGGTTATTCAAGATACGAAATTTGTAGAGATCTACTTGATCAATAAAGAGGAATTAACCAAAGCTAGCCTAGCTGAAGTTCAACATGAAATGGCAGAGACACTATCCAAGTCTAATGAAACTGAAAGTGGCAGCAAGGGAAGGATCGAGTTAGAAGATGATTTGGGCCGCCAAAACAATGTTGATTATGTTGACAACAGGGAACCAAATGAGTTTGACACTTATCACCCTGCAGAGAGTGACCCGGAACAAGGTTTGGATGCTGATTTTGAGGGCAATTATGAAGATATGGAGGGACTAAGCAACGATGGAGAGGGTGGCAGTCATGAAATATACATAGATGATGCATTTGATGTCCATTCCGAGGATGATGTATATGATTCAGACTACCTAGGAAGCAACAATTCAGATGATGAAGAAGAGGTCCAGAGGGTTCCAAGTCATCCAAGGTACCCAGAGTTCAATTCAGAGAAGGATATGAGCGATCCCCATTTCTGTCTACATCAAATTTACAGGGATTTTGATACGTTCAAGGATGCCGTGAAGAGCTACTCCGTAAACAGAAAACAACCACTAAAGTTTAAGCATAATGACAATAAAAGGGTCCAAGTTGTGTGCCAAACATGTTGTCCATGGAACATATGGGATGCCCCAACTGATGATGGAAAGGAAGTTCAGATAAGATCTTGTTGTCTAAAGCATGAGGGGTGCATCATGATGTTGAAGAACAATTTTGGGGATGCTAACTACATAACTCGAAGGTACCTGCAGAGGTTTCAGGATGATCCACAATGGGGGGTTGCGTCAATTGTCCAAACAGTTGCAGAAGATTATCATTGGACTATTTCAAGGTGGAAAGCTTGGAGAATTAGACGTATTGCCTTGGATCTTTTGAGAGGCAATGCTAAGGAGCAGTATCATAAACTGCAGGACTACTGTGCTCAAGTTGTTAGGACAAGTCCTGGTTCAACCTGTTTTGTGGAAACATCTTAGCATTCCAATGTCCTCAAGAGGATGTATTGTTGTTTACAACCTTGTAAGCTGGGGGGCTGCTTTCTGCAGAAAGGTAGTTCTTCTCGACGGATGTTTTTTGAAAACAGACTATGGAGGACAATTACTCTCTGCAGTTAGCCTAGATGGGAACGGAAAGAGTTTTCCTTTAGCATATGCCGCAGTCAAAGTTGAGAATGGAGACAACTGGACTTGGTTCTTAAACCAACTGTGTTGAGACCTTAATATCTTCAAGGATTCAGGAAAATGGACATTTATGTCAGATAAGCAAAAAGTAAGAATATTGTTAGAATGTACTTTGTTTTATAATGTTGTCTTGCTGTAGAGTAATGTGGTTTTTCAATTACGAGGAAGCTGGTTTCTCACCTTGGGTTTCTTTTTATGGTTTTCTGCACCATTTGTAGCATGGACACTTTAGTTTATACTACTACATTCTGAACTTTGGATCATTATTTGCACAACCACTTTGTTCCTGGGTATCGAGATTGGTGTTCTCATTGGGGTAAGAAGCTTTATTGACAATTAGCAAGACAAACTAAAAACCGAGAGCATGGAATGATCATGAATGGTGGAAGAAGTTGTCTATCTCACTTCTGTCTCGACTTTGAAACTGTAGGTTGGTGTGTCACTTGCTTGATCTATTTTGCAGCAGCTTTTAGCATTGTTGTTATGTAATGGTTTTGGATTTGAAATTGAACAAGAAGGCTCTGGTCTATTTTGAAGCAACAGCAAGCCATAGTAACACTTCTAATGGTTTTTACATCATTCAAATCCACTACATCATTCAAAACAAGTTGCCTAACACATTACAGTATCCAGAACAGGTTCCACAACTCATTACATAATCCACAACAGGTTCCCACCTCATTCCTTGATTCCAAACAGGGAATCCATCACACTCTTTGCCAAAAGAGCTCCAACCACAATAAAAAAACCTTTGCTGACTTCTCGGAAAAATGAGTTGTGATCGTTCCTCCTCTCCACCTCTCGGATTCTCTTGTGCATGGCAAGAACAAGGCGCTTAATATTATCTTCAAGTGGTGGATCAATCCAACGGAAATAATTACATGCATTTGCGCCCTACGAATCAAGCATGAGAAGAATCAGATCCAGAGTGTACATATTAGAAAGCTTTGATAAAATGAAAGCTAAGCTAATCGTTCTAATCTAATCTAATCAGCTTACCCGGTAATTGGCGCAGCCGAAGAACCGTCTTCCGGGGTTGGCATCGGTCCATGAAGTTCTAAGAACCGCCGGTACCGCGCACCGGCACAGTGGACTTGCAGCCGCCATTGTCGACCGACTTGGAGGAAGGAGGAAGTGGGCAGTGGGCAGAAATGAAATGTGAGAAGGGGATTGTGAAAAAGAAGATGGGGCAGGAAGCATAGATACTGCAGGAGAAGAGCGGGATAATGGCAAGCCCGCGCGGAAAGAAATGAGCGGGAAGAAAATCCAAATATGAGTTAGCAACTCTTGCTGACCTGTCCTGCTTATGTGTCATGAAAATTACCTTCACGGTACCTATCGTTACTTCCGTTGACGGAAATGGTAATGTTGCTACCGGAGAACGACTTAAATGTTTTAGTTGCTACTAATTCTGTTTAAGTGGTAACCCTGCAACAATAACCCCACTTAAGTGGCATTTGATGCAATTAACCCGAGATTGGGGCTATCGTCTGCGGTAGTGTTAGGGTTCGAGTCGATTTGCTGGAGTAGGGGAAAAAAGAAATTCAATTTGGGAAAGATAGAAGAATCAGGAAAACACTTTACCTTTCAGCAAATTGGAATTGGGCTTCTCAGCGGGTGTAATAACCGCTGGTGAATACGCTGCCATAGTTATAGATGAGATAATTAAAGCCCGGCAGCGGTTAAGAAAACCTCTAAAAGGAAACCCCTGGGCTAGGCCCATATCCTTGTAGTGCTACCATCATCCACGACATACTCTATCCAAACCATATCCATTACTACTCAACAACTCGCAACAAACCAGATAACATCCATTCATTCATTAAGCAGCAAGCCCACCACAGTAATACTTAACAACACACTTAAACACTAATCGTCTCAAATGAAACCACACTTAACAATAAAATTGATCACCACATAAATAAATAACTAGTCACTCCTAACCAGTGGCAGACCCAGAATTTTTTTATAGGGGTGTCATCTTTTAAAAAATAAATTAAATAAAAATAAATAATTAATAAAAATAAAATTATAAATATGAAAATACCTTACTCGTACAGGTTAAAAAATTCAATGATGTGTTTTCATATTCGGAAATAATTGTAGAATACACTTGGTGTCTATAGTGTTTAAAAAAACATTTCTCTATATACACTACTAGACAATCATTCACGAACTTATCGCATATTCTATTTGTAAACTTGTTCTTGATGTAACCCAAAGCTGAAAGACTCTTTCAACATTTGCCGTACAATCATAAAATCAATACAAATTAAGGGTTGTTTGAAATTAGTTTAATTGTTAGGTTTTTAAAATAATTAGAGATAGGGAATGCCATTTTACTTTTACATATTGTTCAAAATCGTACAACAAATGAGTTTAGCTCAACGAAAATTAAGTTTATTAATAATAATAGTGATCTAGATTTAAATTATCCAACCTAGCACTTATATTCCTATACACAAATGACAGTAGGATAATCATTTTTTCAAATTTAAGGGATGTCTCTCACTATCAATTATATTTTTTTTATCCATACGTAAATTACCACCGGGAGTTGGATAATCGTTTTCCCAAAATTTAGGGGTGTCCAGGGACACCCCTAACCCCCTGGTTCCGCCCCTGCTCCTAACAACAACGAAACTCCCTACATAATTGTTACTTCCGATCGAACGAACAGCTACATCCTGAACAGATAGATTCATTGTCACTCCTTAACCACAAGAACGTAACACACTTATTAGCAATTAACCATCATGGGGCTCCAAGGAAGCGGCGGAGGAGATCACTGGCACGCAGCGGCTGGTAGCTGCCGACGTATCCACCGGCGCCGCGGACGGTGGAGAAGCTAGATGTTGTTGTTCCGCCCCATCCGCCCCATGTACACAGACGTGTACCCACCCACATCCCCCTTGCTGTCCTTCATCCCGCCGTATCCAACTAGGGAGCAAAATCGTCCTTCGCCAAAACAAAAAACAACATTAATAGTAACTAAAACTCAGTCCTCAGTTTAATTGTTGTTGTTATATATTATAATAATATTATTATTTAGTACTCACTTAAACTGAACGACACCACCAGCGACGCTTCTGCGGCGGGTTGAGAAGAGTTGTCGTGTTGCACAAAGTAGTATTATACATTTCATGCTGGCATCTAACAGAGCAGGAGAACCAAAATCAGAATTGATTTTTTGACCATTGAAGTCAGCTCTCAACGTCTGAAGAAGGAGGAAGCCAATATTGTCAAAGTGCACCGTTTTATCCCAAAGTGATGCGTCCTACATATCATGTCTGTCTTTTGTTTCCTTCTCTGTCAAGGATATGTTTGTTTCCTTTCTAAGCTAAAGAACACAGCAAATGTACAAGCTGTTCTATGTTGTCCTGTTGTGATGTAAACAGACTATTTAAGCATCATCTCAATGAGAAACAATCTAAGCCTTCTAGGGTTTCAAACCTTCTTTCTACTTCTTTGTTATGGTATCAGTTTTCCGCCTTTGCCAAATTCTGGCAGTTTTCCTGTGTTGACATACACTTTTGAGAAGCTTATAAGTTTACCTTTCTGATTTCTCCTCGAGCTTTCAAGCATATCAATGTGTAGATAAACACTCTATCTTCAATAAAAGCCATTAATCTTGAATTTTCATTGAGCCAATTGTGAGAACAAAGCCTCCAAAATAGGCTACGTGAAACTGTTCCAACACTTAACCAAATTCTGTCTCTTTTCTTTCCAACCTTGATAGCTTCTTTGGCGAGTAATTGTGACCTATAGAAATGGCCAAAAGGACAAACAATGTATTAGTAACTAAACTCTAATCATCTATTCAATTGTTGCTATTCTAATGATAATATTTTTTATTTTGTAAGGTTTACATATTTTATATACTAAATAATAGGTGCATAAATTTTATATACTAAATAGGTTCATAAGTTTTATATACTAAAAATGATAATTTATAAGGTTTACATATAGAAAAATAATTTATGTAACTGTTATATATAACATAGTTATCAAATGTGTTATATAACAAAGTTACATATTTTTTTCATAAGAATTCTTGTTAATCTTTCACAAAAAAAAAAAGAATTCTTGTTAATCATGCAAAAGGTATATCGATCGGATACGCACTAATCGCTCGACATAAATTGAAAGAACCGGATGGTAAGACTAGGGGTCAATAGTGAAGTTGAATGTTTGTCGACTAAGTAATGATGTAGATCATAATAGATTTATGTTTTTATGCAACTTTTCTTTTCACATTGAAATTAAATGATTAGAAAAAATAGTATTGGAATAGCTCATTTAGGGAAGCCGTCGCCGGTTAACAGGTCCACGAACAAAAGATTCGCTTCTGCAAACAATAAGTTAACTGAATCAAATGTTAATAAAATCACGAGGAAGCAAAGAATTCACGTTGATTAAGTAGTTAGCTAACACGTAGGTACCTTTGTACCACAAGTGTTGGTTGACTCGGAGCGTCATGCCGGACTGGACCCGAAGCGGGCCGAAAAATTCTTAGATCCAACCTTAGTTGGACGCAGAAGCTCCAACCAGCCACATATCAGTTTCCTATTAGTGAGTTGATCTTCCTTTTTTATATTTAATTATTGATTTATTTAACATAATCAAGAACATTAAATATTAAGAAAAAATAAAGGCAAATCCACCGATAACAAACTGACATGTGGCTAGTTGGATCTTCAACCTCTAACATTCCAGCGGGCAAACTCGGCCGGATCAGTATGGTTGAAGACTTTGTTTAGGCAGCACTTGGTGGCGGTCGCTAGAGGCCGGGCATTCTCGTCGCTGTGATAGACGGTCAGCTTGAGAGACTCTCCCTTTCCCACCAGCTCTTTCAGGGCGTCGATAATCCACGTCGGCTTCTCAGACCCCGGTGGCACCAGCCCCGGTGACAACGCCTTACTGCCAATGAATCAAAAGCGTGCAGAGTTAGTATATACGTACTATACTCGATTGATCGTAATAAACCAATTCATTTATTTCTATCAAAACAAAATCGAAATAAGTAAGAGAAAAATAGAGCTGCAGATATGCCGGGGCCCCGGAACTCGGCCAGAAGAATTGGCGTGGGGAGCCTGTTGGACGGCCGGCAGCTGAAGGTATTGCTCCAGGTAATTTTCCGAGCACGGGTCGTACCACAAGTACCTCTGCCAATTTTCATTTAAACCAACTTAGATAATTAGATTTTTTTTACTCTAATTATTATCTATAATAATATCACATAATTATTAATGTGTGAGTTTTGTATTATGAATGGATGAATATATTTCGACTATAAAAAAATTCGTGAATCATTTAATATGCTGAAAAGCATTAAAAAACAATGTGGGAATTCCGGCACAAAGAAAATTAGTATATTTATGGGACTGCGTATATTTTATACAAATATATTCACATAAATTAGCAAAGAAAATTTCATAAAAATTACACAGAAGGGACGCGACATTGCAAAGCGGGTATCATTACTTGAAAAAAACCACGTAGATGGACACATTGATTGATTTGCAAATGAAATGAAAGTTGCAATAATATTGTAGATGCTCTTACCGAAGTGGAACGCGCCGCTGCTGTGCACAATGGCTCTTTAATCGCTGAAATGTAAACCGCCAGTCCGATGGTAAAATCTTATCAAACAAATAAAAAAAAATAAAAAATAAAAAAAGGAAGCAGGTGTGCCGGCCTGCAAATCTACGCGCAAGCCCATCTCCACCTCCTTCCACTCCTATTTTTTTACGGATACACGAGGGGTTAACCCCCCCCCCCCCCCCCCCCCCCCCTCATTTCCCATTTTTCTCTTTTTGTCACACTTACCATCTGTCATTGTGGAGAATTTTCCACACTTTCCCACTTTACCCTACCACATTGTGGTTGGTTACTAGTTTTTAGTAGCCACTGTGGCTACCTATATCTCCATCATTCTTTAATTTACTATTAGGATCGACTAGAGATAGTTTTGTAACAAAAATAATAACCATGCCTAATTACTATTTTTAAAATATAAGTTTTTATATAATCTTCCAAATTCTATATAGTTTTCTCCCTGCCGCTCTCACCCTCCTCCACTGTTTCCCCCCACTGCCACTTTCTTCCCCGCCTCCTACCCTCCCCCTTCATCATCATCCTCTACTCCCCCTCCACCCTCCAGATATACCCTCCTCTTCCTCTCTTTCTCTTTCCATCACCACCCTTTCTGCATTGGTATTGATTATCATGTAATGATATTAATAAAAAATCTCTACAATATAATTTATTAAAAAATTAATTAATATAATTGAGTTTTCCATACCCAATTTACCGTTAGTGAATTGAGAGCGAGATTTTTTGAAAAGAATATTTTTAGGTTGATGATGCTTAATAATCATGACAGCTCAAATAGACACAAATCACCACATAAGAGAAATCTCTTTCATTAATTCGAACACAAATGGAAAAATCCGAATGAAAAAAACACCGAGGCATCAACCTCTGGAAACCAAGCTACAACTAAGCCACCAGCAGTATCAATGGCATCAATAAAATAACAATGGGATAAATTAAAACCTAAGCCCCGCATGCGACAGGAAACAACTCCAGTCCACCAATTAAAGAATGCTAAATTATAGCTTCTCCAGTCCACCAATTAACAGTTTGTAGTTGGTTTTCCACCAAGCCACCAAAGCACACTTTTCTCATGTCACTACACGTGA